CCCCCCTAAAGAAGGAACGTAGTGGCAATTAATTTAGCTGCGATAGCTCACCCTCTGTTTTAATCTATCAATATCCATCCCTCCAATCGGTTCCCCCATCCTCTCACCGACCGAAAGGCCTATGGATCCTATCTCTCCTCTTCCCACCCCCATATTCCCCCTTATTTGATGGGGAAATGTGTGTTTGGGGGGGGGGGGGTAGTTCTTCGTACGATGATATTTCCAGTTATAAATATAGGTTGCATGTTGTCCTTGCTATTTTTAGCCTGTCAGATTGAGATTGTGGCTGTTTATCCATTCACGTTCATCTCCCCTATGTGTGAGGAATGTGCTGCACATGTTTTGAGACTAATAAATGGACGTTTGGCCCAGTTTTTTTGCGGAGGGCGGCGTCTTGAATTTCTTCGGTGTTGTCGAAACCATGGGACATTTGGCAGCCGGGGGCGCCGCCTTGAAGTGTTTTTGCATGAGAATAAATCAAACTGCTTTACGCGGTGTGGTTAGTTAAAGGCCCAACTTGTACGTCTTACTTTTTCACTCTCTGGACGTCTTGCTTTTTTTCCTCAGCACTAAATGACCACCACTGTGTCGAAGTCTTTAGCGGGTGGTTGATGGGTGCTCTGGTGTGGTTTGTTCCTTCTTTTCCATCAAACATTTATCGCTCTGATCCCTCCTTTTTGGTATTTGTTACTTTCTTGTAACACCTCGTCTTTGGCGCTTATATGACCTTATTGTGTCGCAAGTGCTGCAAAACGAAAAGAAGTCCTATCTCAATCAAATAAACAAACTGAATAAAGTGTGTTTTGTTTTAGAATACTGTGTCCAGCTGTATGCTTCTCGTCAATAAAGATATGGAGAAAATATTTAATTCTCTAATGTGGTTGGTAGACGGATGCTTTCGTGTTGTTTGTTCCTTCTTTCCTATAAAATAATCCTTCATCCATATCCCGTTTTTGTCCAGGGTGTCTGATTCCTTTTAACTCAACTCAGAACGTAGAGCAGGTGGTAAGAGGGCGCGTCTCGATGTGATCCTCTCGACTGACAACTCAAAACTCAGAATGTGGTACATGCATCACAAACGTGTGTATGGCTACAGGGTCGATCTTATGACAGCATCGTCAGTATTTGCTGAAGGCTGCAAACATCGTTCTTCAAGCACTGATGTCTAAGGTTAGGCTCTGAGCTGTTGCACGGGGAAAGCACAAGTTCAATTCCCGATTTAGAAGGGTTTTTGCACCAAATATCTCCGTCTGTCGATTTAGATATTGTATCGCTTTCTGTCCGATTGATCCTGATAGATTGCCAAAGCAGTCCATCTACTAAATGATCTAAATTCTGTCGATGGTGGCGTTCACCGTTTGCAATTGCAATTATTTTTTATAGCTGTCAACCACTACGTAAAAGGCAAAACACCCCCACCCCCCCCCAAAAAAAAACAACAAACAACAACAACAACAACAAACAAAACCCAAAAAAAACCCAAAACCAAAACGCGCATTTAAGACGTTTTAAGGGTTGAGTTCGTAAGTCCATTTTCATTTCGGAAAATGCACATTCACTTTCTGCCGAAGCTCCCCACGGACTTGTTGATGCTGAAGAAAAATGTTGACCTTTCAAGACTGAATTGGCGAATGAGAATGAAGCCCGTTATTCAACTGGACCTTCTGCTGTAGATTTACT